GACGGAGCAGAGGGCAGGCAGCACCACCCCCCCTCCCCCAGGGCCTCAGCTCCCCCCTCTCCAAAGCTGCCCGAGGGGGCAGGAGGGACCGTGGAGCCATGAGGATGCCCTCAGAGGGTGGGCAGGGGGGACCCTCCAGCTTCCCCCCTGCCCCAGTCCAGCCCCAGGACACCACACGCTTGTCACCCCCCGCCCAGAGCATCCTGCATCCTCAGTTCACGGACCCCAGGGAAGGGGGAAACACACGTGGGGGGCGTGCAGGTATTATTTGCCCTCCTGCAGCAACCTGCAGGCACCGGGAACCCCGAAAGCGAAGGCTCATGGCTGGCCCACGAAGCCCAGGGCTCTGCCCTGGTCCCTCAGGAGCAGCTTGGCCCCGAGCAGTGCTCCACCCGGGCTGGGAAATGTCACAGGGGAGACCGACAGTACCTGGGGGTTTTCACACAGCCCAAGGAGCAGCTTACTGGTGCCCCTGCACCCAAAATTAAAGCATTCCTGCTCCACGGTGAAACACCGGGGTCCTGCCACCCAGCTCGGCCCTGGCGCGGAAATCCAACACTAGTCTTGGCTTTTCCTGACCCAGAAGAGCCTGTGGCTTCCTCTTTATCTACCCCTTTCCCTCCTCCTTTTCTCTCTCTCAGAGAAAAAAGGAGCACTGGTTCTTTTTATTGAAGATATTTTTTTAAACAAACAAAAATTCTCTCAGCTTTTTTTGTTTGTTTCCCTCCTCGTGGCATGCCTGCGTGGAAATTCATGTCAGAACTGCAATTCAAGAAAATGTATTTTTGAGAGAGACCAGAGATGGTTCGTTTGTTCAGGAGCGCCAGCATTGTTAGGTTTTGGTTGGTACTGGCGGGGGTTTTCCCCCCCACAGCATCCCCACCCGGGGCTGGGGGAGGTTTGAGTTGTGGGTGCTTGGTTTGCTCCGTGATAAAAGGAAATCTCTCCTGTGGCCTGAGCTCGAGGTTTTGGAGATCGAGCAGCCCTGAAGCCATTCAGGAGCGTGGCGGGGGGGGGCAGAGCCTCTCCCCACACCAAAGAGGCCTCAGTCCAGGGAAGACGCCGCTGCCACCAGATAATCCAGGCTCTCGCTCCCAAACTGAGCATCTTTAAAGACCTTATGAGCAGCTCTTCATTTCCAGGACACCCCTTTATCCAGCAGCCCTCCCCTCCCCGGCTCTCCTTGGTGTTATCCCAGAAAATGACCCTGTAAACTGCCCCGAGCCCCAGTATTCTCCCTCCCTTCTGAGCAACCCCTTCTGCTTGGGACTCTCCATATCTAATTGAGGACCGTCAGCAAGCGGTACCCAAGCCCACCTCCCCTCCTGACAGTAAAACAAGAAGAAAGGCACCAGCAAGGGCTAAGGAGCTGGCTCCTGTTGCAGCCCACGAGCCAGAGCCCCTTGGCCAGCTTGGGTTTCAGATCCTGGAGCTTTTTTTTTTTGTAAGCATTACTGCGAGGACACTCTTCCCTCCCAAGCCTGGCTGGAATAATCCCCTTTGCCACAAGACTCATGAGGCTCGAACGAGTTGTCAGCGTCTTTGGATCTTGTCCTTCTGGGGAGACTTAGCTGCACCCCGTGAAGTGAAAGCCCTGAGCAAGGGATGCTGTGGGGATCCCTGCCTCCAGCGGAGCACAGCCCTCAAAGGGGCTGCAGGCACGTTTTCCATGGCTTTCATGGGGCTGCTTACTCCTCTCTGAGCATCTCCAAGGTCTCTGGTGAATGTCTGCTGTCTGGCAGGCTGAAAAGCCCGTGGAAATACTTGATTTCCACTCTGGAAGAGGGAAGCGATGCCGTAAGAGATGTGACTGCCAAGGCTCCTGCCCTGCTTGTCAGCGCAAGAGCTGCGGCGCACGGGAGCGCTCCCGAGCGGCTTCAAGCTCAGAGGCCTTATAGGGTCCCCCCAAATGCTGCATCACGCCAGGATAAAGAAGAGAAGAGGGATTTTAAGTCACAGGGTGAAAGCTGGTGTGAGGAGGGAGAGAATTTCCCCACCAGGTTCTAGATACCTCCCCGAAAAAGCCTGATCCTGCAGGTCCCCTTCACAAGGTCATTCCTGCAGCTGTGGTACCTGAGGCTTGCGTTGCTGCTAAGCTCCTTTCTTCACCTCATCCCTTCCAAGCTCACTCCAAACCTCATCCCTTTCTTGAGCTAACAGCTCCCACCAATCCCTGTAATCCCTCCCTCCTCCAGCTCCAAGCCTCTGGAAAAATCTCCTGTATTTGCAGCCTTTCTCCTCCTCCTGAGCCTCTCCAGCAAGTCTCTCCGAAAATCCCGGCTGCCTTTCAGCCACCGAGCGAGGAGCAGAGCGCAGCCGAGCCCTTCCGCGCCGCAGAAGCCAAGCGCTGCACGCCACGCCAGTCGAAATAAAAAGTCAGAAACTGACCAAAAACATTTAATATTAGTTTTGAAGAAAAAAAAAAAAAAAGTGGCCATACTCGCTGAGATGAGGAAATAACGACTACGTGTGTTTAGTGAGCTCTCCTGCCAACCTGTCAGGCTCTCCAGCGAGGCCCGAGCGCGGAGACGAGGCCTCCCCGCGGCGGCTCTCTCGGCGGGTGACAACGCAAACTCACTCGGGACACAAAGACACAATGGCCGTGGGAGCCGGCGTGCGGCGGGGGCTCTGCTC